AACAACGTGGTCTCCGAGCTGTGGGCGAAGGACAGGGATGTCATGTTCAGAACCCAGCTTGTGAAGAGTCGGCTGGGTGTGGACACAAGTCCTACGTGGGAGACTACGCTACAGCTTCACCAGCATCTCCGTGCAGAGTCGGAGAGTCTTGCGAGTGGTCTTCCAACGAGTGCTAAACCTGGAGCAGCTGACCCCACCCAAGATTCGACCCTTTCAGCCAAGTGGCCCAGTACAGCCCAGGACATCCACGACAACGGGACCTACGACGACTTCTACAAGTACGACAGCGAGTGGAAGTGGAGGCGAAAAAAGGTGCAAATGGTTTACGGAGCCTGGGGGATGCAAAAGGGGCGCAAGCTGCAAGTTTGTTCATTCCTTTGATGGGGTGTCAAAGAAAGGGAGATGTTATGTTTGCAGCGGTGAAGGGCACGTGGCCAGTGGATGTCCCACGAAGAACGAGGGCGGTGATGGAACACCTTTCAAATCGAAAGGGAAAGCCAAGCCAAAGAGTGCGCCGACAACGCCTACAGCGAAGGATGATGGAGGACAGGGTGGTTCAGCGGCAGCAAGAGCGATGGTTGCTGAACCGGAACCACAGCCACCAGCTCCTACGTCGCCGGTGAATCAGGAAGGCAGTCAGCAAGGCTCCCAGTCAGGGGAGGTCAAGGACGCGTTGAGAGATGCAGCGCAAGCCCTGAGGTCGTTGATGAGTCCGGGATCTACGACGGCTTCGTCTCCTGCGTCAACCTTGGAAGGCCTGCAACGCCAACTTGATGAGCTGCGACTGAAGACGATGAAGGTGTCAGAGGATGTGAGCGTTTTAAGAATGACACAGCGAACTTCGTTGGATGGGCGGGTTGCGCTTGAGCCTACAGAGGTGCCTACGCTTATCGACTCTGGCGCCACACATATCCTTCGGCATCCTCGCGATGATGGGGAGTTGGCCTCAGCAACCAGGGTGTCAGTGACCTTAGCCAATGATGAGAAAAGGGACTTACTTCAGACTGAGTCCGGGGCCATCCTGTCAACCTCGAAGGACACCCAGCCGATCCTGCCGATGGCCGAGTTGGTGCGTGCGGGATGCGAGATCAGCTGGAAACGTGGTGTTTTCAAGGTCGTTCATCCAGTGTGGGGTGAGCTAAGAACTTCTCTTCGAGGAGGGTGTCCAGAGCTGGCTCAAGAACAGGCTGCGAAGTTGGTGAATGACATCGAGAAGAAGAAGCTACAGGAGTTTCGTGAAGGAGTAACTCTGCTGAAGTCGAAGCTGGAGCACTTGGTTCATGAGGAGCGACTTCCGTG